CATAAACAATTTAGGAAGAAGAGTAGCATTGATTTACATTTTTCTGCAAATCTCTTCAATGTTGAGTTTAATAGAAGACAGCTGGATTTTCATATCCGCTTCTGCATTCAATCTGTTGTGATATGTTGCCCTGGTTGAAGAATGTGAAGAAAATCTAAAAGAAGGAGTATTTCAATCTCTTTTGAAATAATTGATGATACTCTTTGATACTACATCAAAACTCCACAAATGGTAGTTTCTTAAAGGTCAGTTGCAGCGTGAAACATGAATCTTATCAATGAACTTTTTGTCATCTGTTAACACCGCAATGTGTTAGTCTGTCTTGCCCTTTGAATCTTTTACTTATGTGTAATTTTGAAACAGCATACTTTCCTCATTTGGAAAATATTGGCCCACTAAAATATGCAGGTCTTCCAAATATCGACCTTTCATTATAAGATATCAAAAAATTGCATTCATTAATATCACTAAACAAGCTCATCAGAAAACTCTTTAGATATTGGAAAGCTGTCAAGCTCATGCTGGCAAATACAAATTTTCCAGAAATTCTAATTTTCTCTTGAAAGTTCAAATTTTATCACTGGCAAACCGCCCCCATCATTTATTTTCCTTGAAGTGACAGGTTCACTTTATTTGTGTTTGAGAAAATGTCTGCCAGATAGTCTCTGAAAAACATAGTTTGTCCATCATTTTTTCAAATAATAGTGGCAATCCAAAAAACGGTTCAGCTTACAACTCGAACAAAGGCATTGGTTCTTTTCCTGAAGACAAGCACTGTACCCCAGTTTGCAGCAGAAGTGTACACGTGTTTTTCCCATTCTGATATACAGACTATTAAAAAGATGCGTACTTAAGAGTTAATAAAATAAGGGGAGGGTATAGCTCAAGTGGTAGAGCACATGCTTAGCACGCATGAGGTCCTGGGTTCAATTCCTGGCACCTACTCTTAAAAATAAATAAGTAAACCTAATTACCGCCCCCTGCCAATAAATAAACAAACAAACAGACTAACTAACTTGAAGAATTAATAAAGTGAATCATTTCCTTGCTTTATCATGGACATTTTCATGAGAAACTGGCTTTAAAATTTTTTTTCACATTGAGTGCATGGCTGTGAAAAATTTGACTTCTACGTCAGTGTGGTGTTTCTGCTTTGATTTGTGCTAAGGAGCCAGCAGTTTTTCTCACCCCTTTTATCATCAGCACAAATGTCAACACAGTTAAAAAAGCAAACAGTGTCTTGGTATTATGACAATTGTTTTGGCCTCACGGATCCCCTGGAAGTTCTCTGAGACAGTCCTCTCTTGTCCCTCATTTACATGGACCACCCTTTGGGAACTATTATCCTACAGCATTGGGATCAGATGGCAGGGCCTCCTTTAGGCGTGGAAAAGATCTCAGCTAGGTAGAAGCTAGCAATTTCGCCGCTGGGGAAGCAGCACAAAACTGGAGTTCAAATCAACTGTGTAATTCACCAGGTGATTTGAGGGTGAGGTTTTTGTTTTTAAAGGAATAGCAATGATTTATTGAAATAATGGAACCTACATCTATTTAATCAACATAGACAAACCACCACCACACTAAATGAAACAAAGAACAAAACTTTTTCTCAGTCATCAAAATTCCATTTACAGCCAGTGGTTTGTCTATGTGGTTTAAACTCATCTGTCAGTATCTATAGACTTCAAGTGTTTCTCCTGCCCTGGGGCTCCCTAAGGGATGGGTGTAAGTAACAAGGCTTTTTATCCATTCCTTTTCCTTCTCTCTCTCCCTCTCCCCCACCCCCCACCTCCATTGCTTTTGTTTATTGGTTCATGGTGCTGGGAATAGTGTTGAATAGACAGACAAGGTCCTCGATCTCCTGGTGCTCACAGTCAAGTGGGAGACTGGGAAACGGTCATACAAATATGAGTACGAGTACAATGGCGCTTAGATTTACAACGTACAGGGAATTTTGAGATGGGGCCTGACCTGGTCTGGGGTCGGTAAAGACATACTCCCTGAAGAAGTGATATTCAACTCAGGTCTGAAGCAGGAGTTGGAGTTGGCCAAGTAGACGTGGGGTGTGGACAGGGAAGAATGTTGAGGGTAGTGGTATGGGTATGGGAGGAGGCTGAGGCAGGAAAGTTCTGGGTGGGTTTGAAGACCCAGCTGGGAAGTCCATTTTGAGTGGAGCCTTGTGAGAAGGTGGCACAAGATGAGGGTGGAGTGGCAGCCTGAGGGTCGGGGCAAGGGCCGTCAGGTGGCCTTTTTTCTTCACTTTCTGGAACCTACCAAGCTCTTTCCTGCTTCAGTCCTAGACCCGTGGAGAGCCCTCTGCCTGGAACGCTATTCCTAGGCTCCTCTCTCAGGCTCAACTGAAGTGTCACTTCTTTTCTTTTCTTTTTTTTAATTTTTATTTTGGTTGGGGGAGGTAATAAGGTTTATTTATATATTTATTTTAGAGGAGGCATTGGGGATTGAACCCAGGACCTCGTGCATGCTAAGCATACACTCTATTGCTTGAGCTATACCTTCCCCCGAAATGTCACTTCTTTTCTAAGTAGATCCCTTTACTATTCTCCATGCCAGCACCCTATTCTCCTTGTACAGCAACTGTGTTTGTTTACACTGCCTTTGTCTGGCTGCCCTAGGAGACTGGGAGTTCTCCTGTGCTTACAGTGAGGCTGACATGTTGTAGGTGCTGAGATACGTGTGGGATGAATGTGTGAACAAACAAACGAACACAGAGCTGGATTTGAGATCCTGGCTCCATCCTTTAACCTTGAACAAGTCATATAACCACCCTATACTCAGATTCCTAGTCTGTAAAATGAGGATTTTACTTCCTGTCTCAAAGGGCTTTTGTGAGACTCAAGTGAGGTCGTGTATGTGGAAGCATCTAGCAGGGTGCCTGGCTGCAGAAGAGGTTCTTCTTAGTGTTAATTGTCTTCCTTGCTTCTCACTGCCAATTCTGGGCTCCTTTCACTGTGCTGTGACACATGATGAGCCTTACTGAATCTCATCTGAGTCTCTTGACATCCTTTCCTCCTTGGCTGCAACACAAACATGAGAGGGGCTTCCAGGCTCATGTGATGGCAACAGAGTGAGAGGGACAAGAGGGGAGGGGAGGGAGAGACTGATTCTGATGGAGAGTGGATGGAGGCAAAGAACTATTGAAAAAGGACCAGACTTTGGGTAGTGGGATTACGGCAGTTTTAATTTTCTTCATTATACAACTGACTCTTAAACAACTGAGGGGTTAGGGTCCCAACCCTCTGTGCAGTTGAAAATCTGCTTATAACTTTGCAGTCGACCTTCCCTATATGGGTTTCCAGATCTGTGGATTCAGCCATCCGTGGATCTTGTAGTACTGTAGTATGTATTTAATTTCTTAAAATCCACATGTGAGTGGACCCACACAGTTCAAAACTGTGTTGTTCAAGGGTCAACTGTACTTAAACAAACAAGAAAACCCTTTTTTGTTTTGAAATAGTTTTAAGCCTCCAAAAAAGTTGCAAAATAGTACAAAGAATTCATGCATGCCCTACACCCAACATTCTCTAATGTTAACAGTTTATAAAACCATAATACAATGATCAAAGTCAGGAAACAAACATGGCTACAATATTATCTGAATTGTAGACCTTATTTGAACTTCACAAATTTTCCCCCTAATAATGTTTCTGTTCCGGGATACAATCCATGATGCCGTATAGCATTTTGTTGTCTTGTCTCCTTAACATCCTCTGATCTATGACAGTTCCTCAGTCTTTTCTTGTCTTTCATGATCTTGACACTTTTGATCATTTTGTAGAATGTCTCTCAGTTTGAGTTTGTCTGATGTTTTCTCATGACTAAGTTGAGATCATGCATTTTTGGCAAGAATACCATGAAGTGAGGTTGTGTCCTTTTCAGTAACAGGGGTACATGATGTTGATGTGTCTTACTAATGATGATGGTACTCTTATTTTTTTACATTCTTTTTTTTTTATTGAAGTGTAGTCCATTTACAATGTTAGTTTCATGAGTCCAGCAAAGTGATTAATGATGTTACTCTTAATTGCTTGGTTAAAGTATAGTCTACTGGGTTTCTCCACTGTATACTTTTCTTTTAAAATTCTATTTTAAGCCAGGGAGGGCATAGCTTAGTGGGAGAGCACATGCCTAGCACGCAGAAGGTTCTGGGTTCAATCCCTAGCACCTCCATTAAGGATAAATTAGTAAATAAGCCTAATTATTTATAAACCTCCCCCTCCAAAAATATTTAAAACATTTAAGTACTAAAGCAATCAGTGATCCTAAAATATTCAAACAAAAAAGAAAAAGTATAAAGTAAATAAACATCCCACCAAGCCCACCTCAGAGGTTACTCACCACTTTTTGAGGTGTATCCTTCTGGATCATTCTCTGTATCATACACACATATATCATGGTGTCATACCAACTTTTTTGTTTTGTTTTTCTTAACAATGTTATCCAGGGACAACTTTCCTCATCAGGACAATCAGATCTAACTCATTGTTTCTAATGACTGGCTGCTCTTTCATTCTCTGGGTGATCCTAATATACTACTCTGCATTTCCCAGATTTTGTATGAGCACATGAATTAAGTTTTAACCTAGAACATTTTACCATCAACATTTTTGTTTCAAGTGTCATCAGTAGCAAAATATTCAAATGTCAGAATATTAAAAATTTTATAAGATAAAATTTTCATATATTTCATCACCAGGAGTAGATTATCTAAAACTTTAAGTCATGACAAGCTCAAGAATAAAAATAAATTTTTAAGTGGAATAGGAGAAAAAAACTGAACTGCGACTGGTTTTACTGAATCTCAGATACCATTCACTTTAAAAACACACCATTATTTAATGTAGGAAGAAGAAAAATTAATTGGAAGATGCCATCAATTTTAAAGTTTTTTCAAATATGCAAAATGGGCGTCTCAGAATTGAGTAAATAAGATAGTTCCTTGTTGGCCCTTCGTTAACCAAAATTCCTGTGTGATCTTCCAGGCGTGAGCAGGATCCTATGACCAGCTGCCCCTTCCAGCCTATGGTGATGGAGCCAAGTGATTCCTCTCGTGTGGACTCTGAGTTTCGATACACCCTCTTTCCGATAGTTTACAGCATCATCTTTGTGCTGGGGGTCATCGCCAACAGCTATGTGCTGTGGGTCTTTGCCTGCTTGTACCCTTCCAAGAAATTCAGTGAGATAAAGATCTTCATGGTGAACCTCACCGTGGCCGACCTGCTCTTCCTGGTCACACTGCCCCTGTGGATCATCTACTACTACAACCAGGGCAACTGGATTCTTCCCAAATTCCTGTGCAACTTGGCTGGCTGTTTCTTCTTCATCAACACCTATTGTTCAGTGGCCTTCTTGGCTGTCATCACTTATAACCGCTTCCAGGCAGTGACACGACCCATCAAGACTGCTCAGGCCACCACCCGCAAGCGTGGCATCTCTTTGTCCCTGATTATCTGGGTGGCCATTGTGGGTGCTGCATCCTACTTCTTCGTATTGGACTCCACCAACACAGTGCCCAACACGATTGGCACAGGCAACATCACACGCTGCTTTGAGCATTACGAGAAGGGCAGCGTGCCGGTCCTCATCATCCACATCTTCCTCGTGTTCAGCTTCTTCCTTGTTTTCCTCATCATCCTCTTTTGCAACCTGGTCATCATCCGCACGCTGCTCACACAGCCAGTGCAGATGCAGCGCAATGCAGAGGTCAAGCGCCGGGCACTCTGGATGGTCTGCACGGTCTTGGTTGTGTTCATCATCTGCTTTGTGCCTCATCACATTGTGCAGCTGCCCTGGACCCTGGCTGAGCTGGGCTTCCAGAACAGCAGCCTCCATCAAGCTATTAATGATGTGCATCAGGTCACTCTCTGCCTCCTTAGTACCAATTGTGTCTTAGACCCCATCATCTACTGTTTCCTCACCAAGAAGTTCCGCAAGCACCTCAAAGAGAAGTTGTACAGCATGCGCAGCACCCGGAAATGCTCCCGGGCCACCACAGAGACGGTCACCGATGTGGGCATGTCGCTTAACCATATCCCTGGCAGTTCCCTCAGAAATTAGTCCCTGACTGTTGGGGCTGGGCACAGAGGCTTATCCTCCTTGGACATCATGGACTGACCTGGGGAAAGAAGGGGTGTCTGCTGTGGTCTGGGCATGTCCTCCCTGGTCACTGGTGGCCTATTAGGTATAGAGGCTCTATCACCAAGGTAGGGATGGTGGCAGAGCCAGACTGCTGGAAAATCCAGAACTTTAGCTGCCTTTGGACACATGCCATGATAACCTTGGCTGCTACCCTCCTCCTGAACGCCTGAGCGCCTGAGCCTGATAGCTCTGGGAGGGATGTCAGGGCCAGGGGCAGTCCCTGTGGACAGACTCGGAGCCACCCAGTTTAGCCTTCCAGGGCAGCAGTCCCAAATGAGTATGGCCTAAAGTTTTGGGCAACCACTCCTTTTATCACTAAAAAGGCCGAGAAGGGGTTTTGGGAAAGGGATGCCCCCTTGACTGTGTGGCACTGCCTTTGGGACAAACTTTTGAGCGAGGATGATGCCACTCAGTCTCCATCCACAGGCACAAGGTCTTTGTGACATTTCTTAGGGGAAGTGGCTTGGTGGGACCTTCTTCTGACTCATGCAACAACCTGTCCTGAATGGTGACCAGAGAAGAGAAAATATGTGTAGACCAAAAGCTAAGATGGGGAACCTGTCTCCGGAGGCAGATGTGTCTTTCTGCACAGGCCTGGATCAGTTCTGGGGCAGAGGGTGAGACACAAGTGCTCCATCTTTCCATCTCAACAAGGGACCCTGATGAAATAACTCCCCAACTGTGGGTGGGCAAAGGATCTTCAAAGCCACATTGGGGCCATTTGGGCCACTGCAAGGCCCACAGGCTTCCACGGGAAAGGACGCTTAGGCTGAGAAGTGCCAGCGGGTGGGTGAGGCCTCCAGAATGGAACTGTCAGCTCTTCTCTCCCACCTCGATTTCTAGGCGGCCCCTCCGGATTTAGTTTCCAGGAGGTGAGAGGAGCATCTATAATCCCAAGGGCAGGCAGGCGCTTTGGACTCTGGGCACAGAAGAGAAGGGAAAACTTCTCTTGAGGATCTCTAGATGCCTGAGCCTCCTTTTGCTCCCTGAGTGCCTGCAGTGTGAACTTGGCAGCCTCAGGCCCAGGGGCTTGGAGGAACCTTCCCTGCTTTCCAGAAACCTTCCTGCCTTCCAGCAAGTGTCCCCACAAAGCCAGGATCCTTGTTTCCTGCTTACTGGGCTGATTCTGATAAATGCCTCCAAATGGACTGGTAACCTGCTTAGGTCTGGGATGGTAGCCGTGGGCTGGACTTAGCGGATGGTGACTAGGTGAATAGTGCAGCGTACTTGAACTTTGGTGTCCCACAGACCCAGGTTCAAGTCATGGCTTTGTCACTTCCTACTCAGGGACTGGGAGCTGAATTTCCTACCTCATAGAGTTGTTATGAGGAGCAGATACCTCTTGGTCAGGGCGACTGCTCATCCCATATTGTCCCTTTTTCTGAGAATTTGTCCCCTCTCATCCTCTGACAAGAGCTAAAGGGATAGAAGGTGAGCATCTGACTCTTGTGGTCCAGTTCTCTCTCAGGAGTAAGCAGCAAGATTCAGGGATGCTCTTTCAAGCTCTGTAGGCCACTTGCCTGAAGACATAAATTCTGGAGGTGTGTGTGTGTGAGAGAGAGAGAGAGAGGGAGTGTGTGTGTGTGTGTGAGAGAGAGAGAGAGAGAGAGAGAGAGATGTGTATTTGTGGCTGGCAGGGAGTAGGTATCTGCATTAACATAGTAGAGGAAATAGCTCTGCTCAGAGAGGAGAGGGAGATGTGCAGAGCAAGGCAAAGACCAGAGAGGGACCACAGGGACCTGGAGAGAGGAGGGAGTGGTGCTTCCAGGGCCTGCTGGCTCTCTTCCTCCTGGCCCAGCCCTTCTCAGAGCTCCACTTCTGCACTCCTTCCTTTGGGTCCTTGTGAGATTCCCCTGTTAAGATACATGCCCTTACTTCACTTAAGCTGATTTGAGTATCTATTACTTGCAACGAAAAGAGCTCTGAATGCAATAGATGCTCATATGCTGACGCACAGTGTTTGTTGAATTTCAGTTGTTTGTATACCCCCTCGTAATTTTTGCACTATCCGTGTGTCATCTGTCTGTTTACTCAATAAATATTTTTCTTGAAATCAAGTCACTTTTAAAAACTTAAAACTATTTAGTGTCTACATCTATCAAGATTCATCAAATTGTGCATCTGAAATACATGTAGTTTACTGTGCAGGAATCACACCACAATAAATGTGTTAAAAACAAAACAAAACAAAACAAAACAAAACCCTTAAACCTATTTAAAAGGATGCTTTAGGACTAAATTGTAAATGAAAATGAATGCCACCAGCCACGTGTAGAAGGCAAACATAAACATAAAGCATAACTGTTAAAATCAAAATGTTTTTGGTGTCCTGTGTACAGTCGCCTCCTATGCCCCGCTGACTTGTACACCACACTTTAGGAAACATGAATGGAATGTATGTAAACACAAACAGTCTGCACTCAGTAAGTGCTCAATAAAGAGACAGACAGTTCCGAGATGGTAAATTGTGACTGCCCCATCGCTACTCTCAGAATGTTGCCCCAACACACAGGCCAGGGCCTCACAGGCCCAGGGCCCAGAGGAGTAGGGGCAGTATGTTAGGTTGCAGCCCATGCTACGTCCCTGCTGATCTCATCACTCTGAATACAACCACCTTTACTCCTCCGTGACCTCTGCCTGGTTTTGATCTTCTCAGATGCTTTCTCCTCGTTTTAACCTAGCCCAGAACACCTCCTCCAGGCAGCCTTCCCAAATTCTTCCATACAGGGTAATTGACCAACAATATTTTAGGTCTGGGAGGGTGCAACTTTTTTTTCATACCTTAATAACTATTGAAGTTTATCCATTTCAATGTATGTCTTTCATACCCTGAGGGCAGGAATTGAATCTTTTTTTTTAACTGAAATGTAGTTGAAGAAACTGAATCTTCATCATCAGTGTATCCACATTTTTCATACAAAGCCTAGACTTGAGCTCTGTCTGTCTCCAAAGCTTACTGCTTCCCCAGGGTGTAGCATAAACAGGAACACTGACATATACATGCACTTCATTTAAAAAGGGTTTAGGAAGATTCTTTAGGGACAAACGAGGAAGGAGTTTAATGTATATTCATATTTTAAAGAAAGATGTCAGGGATTTTCAGAGGATCAGAACACTTTGGAGCTGGGAGGGTCCCATCTCTTCATCTTACTAAGAGAAACATGGGGACTCAGAGGGGCTATGTGATTGCAGAAATTACACAGGGGGAAAGTACCGGTGTCTCTCACTTCTTGCACAGGATTATGGCAAAAGCTGAGCTGTAATTCTTTCAATGAAACACCACCAATCAGGATTTCCAAGCCATCTGCACACTAAGAAGTTTTCCTGCTGCATTTTTCCCTGATCTCAGTCTTGACCCCAGGGAACTACCAGTGATCTCACTTAAACAACACTGGCTCTGGTAAGACCTGATTCCTTACCTCATCCAGATCAGTCATAGACACAAGAGTAGTAAGTGTAGGTCACAATTGACTAGAACTGGGCACACCTGTGCCTATTTTTCTCATCTATGTTGTATCTGTGCTTGAGACCTAAGGCCACAAACAGATTTAATAAAAACCCTTCTAACACTTGTTTTTTGTGCAGGCTTGGTATTTCTGTAATACAAATCATGTTTCCTCTGACATCCTACGAGAAAGCCATCCTCTCTACCTCACCTACCCAGTCATCCATCCATCCAGCCATCCATCAAGATATCCAGTAAACACCTATGTAGTACCTATTTTAGTCCAGTAACTATGCTAAGTATGTTTTTTATCTACTGTCTCTCTGTAACCTCACACCCTCCTTGAAAGGTAGGTGTTTCAGTCCCCATAGAAATGAACAAAATAAATAAGGATCCGAGCTGACCGAATAAGACAGTGGATGCCTTCCAGGTACTTGGTACAGAAGGAAAGGGGCTTATTTTTTGGTGAGCCCCAGATATTTGCTTGCCACTTTCACAAATCTTATCTCATTGAGTTCTCACAACCACTGTACAGAATTGGTATTTTCATGCCCACTTTACAGATTGGGAAATTGAGGCTCACAGGGCTCCAGTGATTTGTAAGGGCTAGTAAGTGGCGGAGTAATATTCAAACCTAGATCTGTCTTAGTAAATATGTGTCCCTTTCCTTTTCTCCTCTCCCTGCATGGCTGTTACCTCGTCAAGCCCCTCTAGGCAGTGTTCTAGCTTTGATGTGTGCAGGGTAGGGGAACCTCTTTAGGGGAATAGCGGTTGATGAGGGCCCTGCCTTGCTGTTTCCAGCTTCCTCTTTGAGGGCTCCTGTGCTCCCCATACCAGTGGAAGCCCCAGCAGCAATGACTTTTTTTCTGGACTGAATCTCCTGTGGTCAGCTAGGGAGGGTGCTCCTGCAGGTGGCTGGTGTACATGATGGGATGTTACGAAGAACTTCTGAAGCCAGAGTGTCATTGTCACTGAAGTGAGAAGGTACACCAAATGGTCACCTGGAGCCTGACAGTTCTGCAAGAGGAGGGAAAGGGGTGAGTGAAACCGTGTAGCAGGCTCTGTAAAGGAACTTCATGTCATTACCTATGGATGGAACTGACTCCTTTCCTGAATTACGTTTTTCCCCAGGGATACTTATGGTTCATTCCCTTGCCTCCTTCAAGACTTTGCTCAAATGTTCCCTTCTCAGTGAGCTCTGTTTTGACCACCTCATTTAAAACAGAAACTGAGTGAGTGAAGTGTTTCCCAAGTACACATTGTGAATGGTTGGGTCATGTCCAAAGGTCATCCACTTTCCATTCCACCACATTGTCCTCCTCTGTAGATATCCTTCATGACACAGGATGTAAAGGCCCATATCAACCTTCCAGATAAGAAAAACAAGCCTCAAGGAAGAAAATAACTCCCTGCAAACCTAAGTCCTGGACCAGAGGGCTTCACTGGAAAATTTTACCAAATATATAAAGAAGAACTTATACCAATCCTCCTCAAATGCTTCCAAAAGACTGAAGAGGAGGGAACACTCCCAAAGTCATTGTATGAACCCACCCTGTCATCCATCACCTGGATACCCAAACCAGAGAAAGACAATACCACAAAGAAAATTACAGGCCAATATAGATGAATATAGATGTAAACGTTCTCAACAAAATGTTAGCAAACGAAATCCAACAAGGCATAAAAAACATAATACCCAGGACATTTTTCACAGAACTAGAACAAATAATCCTGAAATTTATATGGAATCACAAAAGACCCAGGATTGCCAAAGCAATACAGAAGAAAAAAAATGAAGCTAGAGGAATAATCCTCCCAGACTTCAGATAATACTACAAAACTACACTAATCAAAACAGCATGGTATTGGCACAAAAACAGACATATGACTCAATGGAACAGAATAGAGGGCCTAGAAATAAACCCACACACTTATGGACAATTAATCTTCAACAAAGAAGGCAAAAACATGTGATGGAGGAAAGACAGTCTCTTTGGCAAGTGGTGTTGGGAAAGCTGGACATCTGCATGCAAGTCAATGAAGGTAGAACACACCCTCACAACACACACACAAATAAACTCCAGATGGCTTAAAGACTTAAATATGACATGACACCATAAAACTCTTAGAAAAGAACGTAGATAAAACATTCTCTGATATAAATCGTAGCAATATTTTTTTAACCTCCTTTTTGCAAGGTGCTTCTCTTGTCCATTTTTTCCAACTGAATGCATGTTCTTTTCCATCACCATTCTCTAGACCCATGTCCCACAATAGTTCTTATGCATTCAATAAATGTCTTTGATTTTTATGTATCCTTTTGCAAAATGTAGCATTATTTTCTGTGCATATTCATTTACAATTTACATAAAAGACATGATTTGTATAAACTGGGGTATGGACCTCATTCTGTGTTTCATTTTTTTCCCACTCAGCATTGCTTTTACAATGCAACCATGCTGACGTGTATACACCCAGTTCATTGATACAAACATCTGCCT